AACAGTTGCAGGGCTGAGACTGCTCTGGTCAAGGTTATAAATCACTTACTGCTTGCAGCTGGTACAAGCCTGTATTCAGTTTCATGTCCTAATTTGTCATCTGAAAAACTATGTCAGCATCAGTGATGTGGCTCTGGACTGGTTCATTTCTCTCTGTTATGCTCGGAGAAGCCTCTACTTCATGTACTTCTCTCTCTCTCTTATGAGGTCCCCCACAGGTCTGTTATGGGTCTACTTTTATTTACTGTATATAAACTGCCCCAGGGGCAAATCTTGTGCGGAAATTATATAGATTTTCAGACATTTCACAGCTGTATGTCTCATTAAAACCTAGTACCACTGATGGAAGTTGAGAACTGGATGTCAACAATTTCCTGCTGTTGACTGAGACCAACTGACTGACTTGGGCACTTCACAAAATAAATAGAATCACAAGGAAGGAAGTTTATGTGGGTATATTGAAGCATCATCTCAAGACGTGAGCCAGGAAGTTAAAGATTAATCACAAATGGGTCTTCCAAATGGGCAAGGACCGCAAGCATGCTAGCATCGGTTGTCATTTACTATGACACACTATATGAGATAAAACTATCAATTTTTGTGTCCGACACTGTTTGTCAGTTCAGAGACCCTATGCCCATCATGTCGGGCTTGTTTTCTGTGATCTGAATCAGGCATAATGATTCTATAATCTTAACTTGTTACTAAAGGCGACTGGGCCTTTGTTGTACAAGCCCCTCAGCTGTGGAACTCCCTGCCTGATAACCTCATAAACTCGGTGTTCTCCTTTAAATCTATTTTTGAGTTTGACGTCTCTCTCCAGCGCTGTTGCCTACAGCGAGAAGGTTCTGTGTTTGAGCCCCAGCTGACCCAGTGCCTTTCTGTGTGGAGTTTGCATGCTGTCCCTGTTCTCTCCGGGTACTCCGGCTTCCACCCACAGTCCAAAGACATGGAATTTAGGTTCATCAGTGACTATAAATTGCCCATAGGAGTGAGTGTGGGTGTGTGTGGTTGTCTGTCTCTACATCTCAGCCCTGTGACAGACTGGCGTTCTGTTCAGGGTGTACCCCGCCTCTCGCCCAATGCCATCTATCCCAGCTCTTCAGGATAATGGATGGATGGATGGAGTTTCTCTCTCCAGCCCTTCTTAAAGTCTTTATACAAGAAAAGAGAAGATGCGCTTTGTTATCTGCGTATTTAACCAATAATCACATATATATCGTCTCAGCCACAGCTAAACATTTCACTCTACTTCCAAGTATGGCCATTCAGAACAACTATGAACTGTTTTTCTTGTTTCAGACAGCATGTATAAACAAGTTATTTTCTAGCATAATCGAGACAAGCTGGACAGGGCAGACTTTGCCATGGTTACTGTACATTAGAACATCAATAGTGAATGTAAATACATAAGTAATGAATGTTATGCAAAACATATGCTTAACCCATGACAGGGTATCTACCTCCAGCTGAAGTGCTGTTGGACTCCCTTTGTGGTCAAATTCCATCTTACTCCAGCTCAAATTTGCTGTGTGCCTTTATCCATCCTTAATCACTTTATTATACACCTCTTACATAACCCACCCCACCCCTCCTAGGCATATAAAGATGCAGTCTTGCACAACTCTCACCCTCTAAACCAGTTTCATCCAGTTCACAAAGTGTTGCCAAGAAACCATCTGTGTGTGCGTGTGTGTGAGAGAGAGAGACTGAAGGGACAGGGTTTCCGTCACTGTGCGAAAGCAGATAGCTGGAATTTTCCTGTTCTTGCCGCCTGTATTACATAAGCTTAGAAGATGAATGAAGAGGGAGCAGACAGCCATGCTTCTCTTTGCCTCATGATGCCTATTTTTCTATTACTTTTATTCATGTGTCATGAAATAATATTGTCATAACTGTCAACTTCAGTAATTACATTTAAAATTGCCTCTTAAAATTAAAGCCCTAACAGAAGTGTTTGTAAAGGATGTGCCTTTATAGCTATTGCTGCCACTTTTCATGTGTATGTTTGAGTGCAACACTATGAAAACCTTACGGATTTAAACAAAATTACACTTTCCCCTCTCTCTGCGATGGGTCAGCCTTTCATTTTATGAGTGTGACAATTTCAGCTAAACACTGAAGATTTGCAGTGAAGTTGGGTGACACATTTTATGAAACTATTTTTTTTAAACCTATTCCCTCTCTTACAGCATCATCCCTTGAGTATGTTCTGAGTCTGTCCCAGGGTCTGCTTTGTTCAGCAGCCCTGAGATGCAATGTCAAAATTGTTTTCATCTATTAGAAAAATAATTGCAGACAGTATTGTGAAATTATTGCCCATCTCTAGGTCTAAGTGGCTGATCAGGTGTCAAAACAATGTAATACCAGACATTACAGTTCACTTTCTGTCTGCTACCAGCACTCACTGAAGCCAGTCTTCTCCTGAACTTTAACCACTACCCACCCAAGTATTTTTTATTTTCCTAAACTTAACCAACCCTTCACTGTAGCGGTGGCATCTCTGGTCACATAGTTTGGGTTACCTTTTAAAATATAATAGTGATGTCAGTACCAACTCTGTAATGAAAGGGAAAGGCAATGCAATAGCGTCTGAAATTGAAAAGTCACCGTTATGGAGAAAATGTAGGGGAGAAAAGTCTGTTAAAGAGCAAAGTCTGAAATGGAACAAATACATCCCCATTTCCCCAAAAAGTTGGGACTGTGTGTAAATTGTAAATAAAAACTTTAAAAACACAGAGTATTTCATTGAAAATAGTGCAAAGACACCATAACAGATGTTGAAACTGAGAAACTTTATTTTTTTGCAAAACATCTGGTCTTAAATGAAATGCCAGCAACCCATTTCAAACTGGAATTACCACTTTGCAGTTGTATGCCTCCACCAACCAGTCAAATTCACAGATATGAGACAGAAGTGAGGCCACGGACCTTGAGCTTTGACCATCAAAATCTAAACAGTTCATCACTGAATCCAAGTGGACACTTGTGCCAAATTTGAAGAAATTCCCTCAAGGAGTTCCTGAGATATTGTGTTCATATGGGCCATATGGACAGATGAACAACTGTCTCATTAATGCCTCTGACCATGGCTATAACTGGTGTGGACATAAAAAGTTAGGACAGGAGCATTTTTACCACTGTTGTCCATCACCTCCTTTTTGCATCACTCTGCAAGTGGTTGGGAACTTAGGGGATCAATTGAATTAGTTTTGAAAGCAAAATGTTTCCTTATTTCTGCTTGATATAGGATTTCAGCTTCACAGCAATTTGGGGCCTCTGGTGTCATATTTCTCACTTCATACTGCAGGCAGGTCAGTTTAGCACCCACGCTCTTATTATGGAGCTGTGCTTTTGTAATATATGCAGAATGTGGTTTGGCATTGTCTTACATAGGGATAATTAATCGACTATAAGAGTTCAACTTATCCAGACTACATAATTCTAATAAGTACAAAATACATCAGCACATACTGTATATACACCTATATGTGCATGTTTATACCTCAACACACGTATAAATTATATTTAAACATTTCAAATCTTTTATTGCCCCTGTCCCGACTTTTTCGGAATTTGGATTCTAAGAATTCTCTCAAGAAAACATTATTGTGTTTGAAAGCCAAAACTTATACCACATAATGTCATGAGAATGTGATGTACTGCATACAGTTGTGAAAAAAGTAACAACAGTGTTTGCAGTTTCCTGATTTTCTGCATATATCACATTTCATGACCAATTTATGCAGAAAACCAGGACATTGCAAACAGTGCCATTACTTTTTTATTGTGACTGTATATGTATAGGCTTTTCCAGTTGTTATTGTGCTTATTCTATCCCCCACACCCCCATTTTGGGTTGGTGAAATAAATAAATTGGTGTTGGGCAGTAATGCATTAAAGTAATGCGAGTACTTTTTCAGTAATGATTACATTGCAAGGATTACAAATTGATATTCAGTCATCACATACTTACTGGTCTCAGTAGTGCTTTATTGTGTTGACATTTGGGGGTCAGCTAACTTATTCACTGTTTTACTGTCAAATCATTTCACTGTGTTCAGTGGGCAGACTGGTGGTGGTCTGAGATATGGCTGAGGTGTGGGGCAGGTGGTTGCCTGTAACTAAAGACTAGAAATGTAACTTCAGGTAATTCCAAAGTTGTCTTAGCCAACAACATGGAATATTTAAATAACTGATGTGACAGATAAGACCACACACACACACACATTCAGGAGTCACTTCTGTTTTAGAGTTGGAAGGTAAGTGGTAGTGTAACCACTTCTAAGTTTGGGACTTCTGGAGAGCTGTGTGGCTATCACTGAGGCTAAGATAGCTGCTGGATGCTCTGTAAATCCCTCCAAAATACACAGCTGCCTGCCTGATAAAATGCAGTGTCTTGTGTTTTTTGTTTCTGTTTGTGTCAAATACAAAAGCTGTGTGGCCTGGCTCAGCATCTGGCAGCTTCATCTGGATGCCAGGTTGGTTTTTCCACAGAAAGAAGCCTGGTCAGGAACGGCCTCTGTTGAAAAGTAACAGCCAAGATATCACTTTTTCAGAAGGGGGACAGGGAGAAAAGGCTGACACATGCAAAAGCTCACAAAGATTGGAGTGAAGATCAGGGGAAGAGAGTGATGAATCGCAGTTTGAAATGTTCAGGTCCAATCGTTGACAGTATATGAGAAGATAAGTTGGAGAGAGGTGGAAAAATGAGTGTAGCAGCCTTCAGTGAAACATGCTGGAGGGTCTGTCATGGCTTCAAGATGGCAGTAAAGGTGGCCTGAGACTTTTGCACAGTACTGTAAATAAATACTTTGTGTGTACCACACAAAATCTTAGCTTGCCAGTGGATATAACAGCTCATTGGTTTCTCTTCTCTTCATAATGTAGATAACTATCATTAAACTTCACCTTTTGTTTCTCTGTTTCTGTAGGTGATCTGGTGAAGTTAGACCCTGAAGATAGTTCTCACTCTCACATTTATTCTTGTCTGTTGACAGTTTTATCATGGCTTTTCCACTGATCACACGTCAGCTTGCTCTCTCCCTGCAAAAAAATGTGTGGCTCGGTGCTTCAGGTAAATCCAAACCTCTAAATAAACTTTAAATTAAATCTGTTTAATTCCAATCAATGTACCATTTCTCTAGATGATAATGTGTTGCTGTGTTACACATGCTTACTTGTTGATTAATCTAGAAGTGTTACTACAGTGATGTGCATCCTATTCATTTACTAAATGCTTTGATTTTTATTGCATTGAAGAGACTTTTGTCTATTTTGCTACTTTGGCCATTTTACAACTACCAGGCTGTTAAGACCACCTGTGTATCCCTTTTTAAATTTGTTAAACCGGTCTAAAAATTTAGATGGGAAAGGTAATTAGGTCAAGAATCTGAGAAAGCAGATCATCTGATTCTCAATCTGATTTTCAGTCAGATGTGAGAATGTTATAATTATCAAACAGCTGTGGATGCTCTTTTGAGAGGACCATAAACTTAGTTTTTTGAGCATTTGAAACAAAATTTAAACTTAGCAGAGTCTTTCCTAAAGACTGAAATGAAGTCTGAAGCTCTTTGATCATTTGTGCTACAGAGAAAGAATATGTATAAATCTTAGTGTCATCAGCATAAAGGTGTATTTTTGCTTGAATATCCTTACCTAAGTCATTTATAAAAACAGAAAACAAAATTGGTCCCAAAATGGATCCCTGGGGAAAATCTTTGGTTACCTCAAGAGAATCAAATTTATGGCCCTCTGCCATAATAATAATTTTATGACCATGTCCATCAATCACTGAGCATGACAAAGTCTAACGTGACCTCTGTTACTGACCTATATTTAATAAAAAAAAAAAAATCACCAAAAACCTTGATAATAACAGCATGTACACTCACTCACTGTCTGCCTCTGTATGTGTTTGTGTGAATGTAATTAATGCATACTTCTTTCCACTAGGGTGCAGATATGTCAGCAAGACAGCAACAAAGACCCAGGTGGAGTTTGACTACAATGGGCCCTCCATGAAAACTTCAGTCCCTGGGCCACGATCACAAGTAATACACATATGGACAGGCACACATGCATGCTCATACACACCCAAATTGGTGCATTCTATCCCCGTATCAGGTATTACTGAGCTAAATGTCACTAAATGTGATTTTCAATCTGTAGGAGCTGACCAAACAACTGGGAGACATCCAGGTGAGCTGAGGTGTGTGTTTGTGTGTGTGCATGTGTGTCTGTAACCCTGGTATTACTCACATTGTGGGGACTTGCCCAGATGCTAGTAAATTGTAGAAGGTAGAAGACTTTAAGGTTAGGGTTAGGCAAGTCATGGTTATGGTTATGGTTAAGAGTAGAGCAAGTATCCAGTTAATGAATGTAAATCAATGCAAAGTAGACAGATGATTGTATTTGGTTTGGTTAGTAACTTCATCAGTAGCCTAGTTTTAAGCCTATTTTGTGTGTTCCTGTCAGCGAAATAGCAGTGTGTGAATTATGAATTTTGCCACAGCTCCAGATTGATTTAGCTGTTTGTGCATCTGCGTTTTTTTGTGAGCTGGTCTTGTTACTGAAGCAACATTTCTGTCTTACATAAGTGTGCCTAAGCTGCAGGTGTTCACACCGGCCCTGATATTTGAGTTTCAGGTGGTCTTCTATCTTCAGCGCACTGTGCACAGTTGATCACCCACAACTGTACTACACAGTTTGTTTGGACCGCATCATCATTGATGCACATGTTAAATATAAATCAATGTGTTTCTGACAAATATTTCTGGTGTTTTTACCAGATTGGAGGATGATCAGAGCATCACTTTGTTCACTCAGTCACTTGACAGTTTAAATAGTCTGTCAATATATGATTTGTCAATATAGAATGTTGCTGTGACCCAACAGGTTTAGTTATCAAAACAACCACACACTTGGCACATCTGTCGGTGCTCCCTGTGATAATCATGGGGCTGTATTTTCCTGGCAACAAACGAACATGTTTGCGCCAACATGGGAGAAGAGACGCGATTAAGCAGTGCGGTGCAGTTTTGGTGCTCATAATATCTGCTTGAAGATTTTGTCCCAGTATACAAGTCATCTTTGGAGCTGGCTGAGAGATGCTAGCAGTTTCCATGTCTTTCTACTGTTGGTGCAACGCTAAACCAACAATGACCTGAAAGATGGAGATTACAACCATAAGCACCTTTTCATTTTCCTTTGGGTAACATATACCAAAGTGCTGGACTTATTATACTCACAGTACAGTATGATTATTTTTGTGTGTCACATGGCAGGTGCATGTGTTTGTCGTGTGTGCGCTGCACAGTTAATACAGGAAGATTAAATTCTACTGTAAGGTGTTCTTAATACAGAACGTGTCTCTTCCCAGAATGTTGGTGCAGTAAACTTCTTCTGTAACTATGAGGAGAGCAGGGGGAACTACCTGGTGGATGTGGACGGCAACCGCATGCTGGATCTCTACACTCAGATCTCCTCCATTCCAATCGGTTAGTAGCAAAGCAGCCACACACAGCTACATGGAATGTAGGAGTGGTTGTATGCCATTTTACAATGCGGTGTGGTTAATTGCTACTTTTCTGAAAAATGAATTTGGAAATAGTTCATGGATAAAATAAAAAGATGGGAATGTCTGTTTTCAGATAATGCAGGGAACGAAACACTCAACAAGTTAGGGTGTTTTATCACATTGAGACAAAAATCTTAAAAATACAAAATTGCCACAAAGCGGTCCTGCTCACTGATTTGCATCTTTGCCTGTAACAAACTATTTCAGTGAAGGATCTCGCACTATACAGTATATTGTTAGTGTAGTGGTGACTGATTTGCACATTGGTTGTATAAGCAAAACATCATAAATTCTCATTAGACGAATAGTTACAACTTGAGAAATAACGAAGCATAGATGTTTGTTTGCACAGATGAGCTCAAACTATGTACAAGTAAATGAGATCACCCTGGTGTCATTTGGGTGCTGACATTAAATGTCTAACTTTAACGTTTAAATTCATTTCTCAAAGATGGTTTGAGCACTGATTGTTACTTTGTGTGCACAAAGGATTTGAAATAGTTTTATTCTTACCCAGAAGACATGGTGTGCCAAGGTTAGAGGTGCAGTGTTTGCACAAGGATTCAGTTCAATCCCATACACTGTATTGTTTCCATAGAGAATTTTACCTAAGGCTTAACATTAAACACACAAAATTCCAGGACAATAAAAATACTGTACAATTTGGTTCACCACTGTACTGTATCCCAGCCCAGGTAATTGATAAGAAATATGCAGGGATTCTGGTAGTGTATTTTATAGGTACAGGGTTAACTAATACAACTTGGCTTTGCTATTAACAATCATTTTGCCATAGACATTTGGAAATATACTCTTTGTCGAATTCAGTTCTGCTACTGTTATATTTCTCCTGCTTTTGCCAATGAAATTAGCTAAGCAAAAGACTTCCTTTAGGAGAGGTACGTAGGTTGTTCTGCCTTGCCACTACATGCCACTGCTCCCGAGTGAATTGTCCATCTGCTGCACACTCACTTGTGAACAGCCTTTGGTGGACCGCTACAGAGTGACGTATGTGTTTGTCCATGGCTGTGTGGTAGGGTCTGTTTCAGCTCTGCACAGTGTAGAAAATGCAAGTTGCTGCAGTTATAGTGAAGAGAGTGTGTTAAAGATCTCAAACCAGTAGTTTCCTCATTTGGCAGGTTAGTCTGTTCCAGACTACATGGATCACATATTGAACAGATTACAGGAAATATCTTCTCTCAGATAAGAGGTCTGAGATCTCAGGTCAGCCCCCCAATCAGCCTTGACTACATTCATAAGGGATAGTTAACTAGTAACCATTTAACTGTAACACATGAAAAACTATGGTGCCATCTTATCAGGATCTTTTTATGACTTGTCAATGACAGCCATTTTGAAATGGCTATGTGTGTCCTCATAGAGTTTCTTGTCAGCAGTATTCTGAAGTTACTCTCAGCAAATATGTTGATGTGTTAAGTGAAGGCAAGAAGCAGCCAAACTTTAGAAGGTGCCGCTGACTGACTGCTCAATAAACATGATGCAACTCAGGTCAAAGAACCTGATACTGGCTCTATGCATAATAAGTTTTTATTTTACCAACAAAGTTAGAGCAACTTATTTTAAAATTGTACATTTAACTGAAGGAGTTTCTACTAAATTAAAGAAAAACATTACTGAAACCTGTGGATTTTCTATCACTGGCGCAGTTAGTCCAGTCCTACGGATCAGTATCAGCCACTGATGGGCATATTTGAATTTATGGGTGTCAGCTAAAATAAAGCTGATTAAAATCCAGTACTTCTTTATGTTGTATTCCGCTGTTTCTTTAAGTCATGTTTTCACTATCGGAACTAAACGAGCGGGATACCCAGTACTTCGCCCTGCATAGCCTCCTGGTTTGACGCGGACCATCCTGCTTCATTTCATCTATATATTTTCTCTGGGTGCGTTCCAAAACCTGACAGGTGCGGTACTGGTTTGCAGGCATGGTTGCTTGCTTGGCACATGAAATGGCACATGCCATGTGTGCCAGCCTGAAGCCAGGGCATATTGCGGCACATCAACAAAACAACATGGGGAGCCCAATAGAACATGAACAGTGGCCTGTTTGTTGTCAGAAAATGTGGGCACCATATCGTCCCGGGAGCCCACAACAATGAGGGTGCAAAAAGCAAGTAATTTTGAACAGGCAAGATGCAGGCCAGCTAAAGGCAGGGGAAGGCTGGCAAATGAAAGTACTTTAGATTTAGCAAGTCATCTCATAGTTCCTGAGGAGATAGTCAGCACTACCCAGACCTTGTGTTGTGGTCAGAAGAACAGCGGACTGTGTATTTTGTCGAGCTTACAGGTCCCTGGGAGGACGCTGTAAATACAGCTTATGAGAGGAAGAAACTGAAATCCACAGAGTTGGCCGTAGAGGCAGAGGAGTGTGGCTGGAAAAATTAAAGTCCACTCTGTGGAGATTGGTTGTAGGGGATTTGTGTCTATATCTGTAGCTCAGTAAACTGACAAAGAAAAATGTTATTTCCAAGGTATATGTGAGTGCAGTCTATGATATGGCAGCATTTGAATGGTAAATGGTCTTATATTTGTATAGCGCCTTTCTATGCTTTTACAGCACACTCAAAGCGCTTTCACACATTATTCGGCCATTCACCCATTCGCACTCCCAAGCACTCACACATTCACACACCGGTGACATCACTGGGAGCAACTGGGGGTTCAGTGTCTTGCTCAAGGACACCTCGACATGTTGACTGGACAAGCTGGGAATCAAACCACTAATTCTACGGTTAGGAAACGACCCGCTCTACCTCCTGAGCCACAGCCGCCCCCCAAATGAATGACCAGCCTCATAGCAGAGGAGCCGTACCTAAAGGATCAGTTCCTTTTTTATCAAGAATGATTTTGGTTTTCGGGTCAGCCAAGGAACACTATATTTTGAAGGCACTATATATGAATGAAACTGTGTACTAAATTACTAAAAAGCTTTAAAATGAATACTTCTGTTCTTACTTTCTTAGGGGATGATATATTGGTTTTGACATTTTTCAGGCAGGATTGGAGCTGAATGTTAGTGGATCAAAAGATTTGTGAACCACACAAGAAGTCTGGAAAATATTGTTTCTTAACAATAATACCAGTTTAATGTGTAGCTGTGGACTATTTATCTGTTCATTACTCTTATTACACTCTAACAATTGTTGAAACTGAGAATATGTAGGAGCTGCAGACTAGTGGACAGTTTCTTTGTGCCTCACTGCACTCTGCTGGTTGGTGGTGGAATTTTACTGCAATTTATATCAATTTATGACTAAGTTCACTGATGATTCATAATAATTAGTTGAAGACTACAACATTCGTCCACTAAAGCAGTGGTTTTCAACTAATTGTGACATGGGGATCACCATTCTAATGAATAAATAACCTGAGGTCCACTGTTGTGGCGTGGACAGACCATATGGGCACAGTTTTAATCCGCAAGGTCACCTTGGCTTTTCCAAATGTTAATGTATTTGCATGAGTATTCATAAACAATAAGTAATGTGTGCAAATGTGTTTAAAAGCTTTTTAAAAAGCGATTCCTATGGTGAAACTACACTTTTAATGTATGGTCAGAGATCACCTGCAGTGTCTTTGTGGGCCACCAGGGGGCAGCAGAATGATACATATAGCTGAATGCACTAAAGAGTTGTAATTTTTCTCACTGATTTAAACTAGTCAATGGAAGCATTCTAGATAAACCCATCACCAGATGTCATTTGAAGAAATCTCTCTATGGTGGAAATTTCTGTAATAAGAGAACTCGCGAGCAAGAAAGATGTATTTTTGGATTTATTAGTATGTTTGCAAACAGACACTCAGCCTTCAGTAAGATGCTTCAGATGATGATTCAATGTGTCTGACCCTTCCTTCTCACCCCAGTTTGTACCCAAGCAGCACAAATGGCAGGAAGGAACAATTGCCACTTGTAAATACAGCAGACAATGTCTGCCCTCCCTTAAGGCATTTACAATGCAATGAGCATTTAAAAAAAACACAACCAAGAAAACACTTGAGCAACACAGTAGAAGGTAGGAAAACAGTGACTTGCTGACATCAAGTCTGGGACGTTATCTCACCTACTTGTCCCACCTTAGTCATAATCGCATCAAATAAGGATTTTTAATAAGAGCAATATATCTGGATTTTTCCACTATGCTCTCCTCAAAGACCTATTCTGACAGTTTTATTAAAGGAGAAAGGGCATCCTTCCTGGAGATAAATGATTCTCCACTGTTGTTCATTTTAAGAGGGAAAATCATCTTGTACTCTGCAGACAAGAAGAAATATCAGCAAGGGCATGGTTTGGTCTCAACACTGGTAGGGACAAAACATCACCCCAAACCCTGACAAATATACCCATTAAGGAGGAGTTGCTTAATGTACAGATGAAATAATTAAGTAGGCCAATTGTTTGATGAAAAAGGGGTAGGATTAGATTATTTTTTCCTACTAGTGTTTGAACTTGTAGATTATGCTTGAACTAAAACAAAGAAACAATCAAACATGGCTTCATCATCATTAGTCTAATATTTAATATAGTTGTAATATTAATACATTTAAATATAATGCAAGTTAAGGCTGCTATACCAAGTTTCCTTGATTACTGCCAGCTTACTTTTGCTGTTAGGACTATGTTGTTGCAGTCCTTGTTCTGTAATATTCTTTGGTCGTCTTGCATGCACAGCTCTTTTAAGATCTACCCACAAATTTTCAATGATGTTTAAATCAGGGGACTGTGATGGCCATTCCAAAACCTTCAGCCTGCGTCTCTTGAGGTATTCCATAGTGGATTTCGAGGTATGTTTAGGATCATTGTCCTGTTGTAGAAGCCATCCTCTTTTCAGCTTCAGCTTTTTTACAGATGGTGTGATGTTTGCTTCCAGAATTTGCTGGTATTTAGTGGAATCCATTCTTCCCTCCACCCGTGCAATGTTTCCTGTGCCACTGGCTGCAACACAACCCCAGAGCATGATAGATCCACCCCCATGCTTAATAGTTGGCAAGGTGTTCTTTTCATGAAATGCTGCTCCTTTTTTTCTCCAAACATGCCTTTGCTGATTGTGTCCAAAGAGTTCTATTTTAACTTCATCAGTCCACAGCACTTGTTTCCAAAACGCATCGGGCTTCTGTAGATGTCCTGTTGCATACTTCAGATGTTGGATTTTATGATGGGGACGCAGATAAGGTTTTCTTCTGCTGACTCTTCCATGAAGGCCTTGTCTGTGCAAGCATCGCTGCACAGTGGAACGGTGCACCACCACTCCTGAGTCTGCTAAATCTTCCTGCAGGTTTTTTGCAGTCAAATGGGGGTTTTGATTTGTCTTTCTGACCAGCATACGAGCAGTTCTGTCCGAGAGTTTTCTTGGTCTTCCAGATCTCATCTTGACCTCCACAGTTCCCCTGATCTGCCATCTCTTAATTACATTTCTTACTGTGGAAACTGCAAGCTGACAACGCTTTGCTATCTTCTTGTAGCCTTCTCCTGCATTGTGGGCATCAATAACTTTCATTTTCAGGGTCTTACACAGCTGCTTAGAGGAACCCATGGTTGCTGGGTGTCCACAAGTGTGTGCACAAGGTTTGAAGAGTCAAGGTATTTGTACAGCTTTGAAATTGGCATTTACCAATGACAGCTGTTGCTGTGCATCAGATCTAATGAGCTGATTAAGGTCTGAAACCTTGTGAGAGACTTTGAGACTCTGGAACTCTTAGGGTGCCCAAACTTTTGCACCATGCCATAATAATGTTTTTATTTTTTATTTTTGTTCAATTTATGGCATAAGAAGTAACTATGCATCACTGTTTGCTGAAAATATTGTGCATTTTTTCCATTTCCAAGAGAAACTGTGTTAACATCTGTTCAAATAAAAAATCACCAAAATCTGTTATTTATCAAGGGGTGCCTAAACTTTTGCATAAGACTGTAAATGTAAACAAGTCCTCCACCCAGCAAAATATCTGTGGGCCTCAATGGATTTGTACATTCTCATCTGTTCACAGGTATAGGCACTTATACCATAAACAAGATCAGAGCAACAGTGTGTGAATAAATAAACTGTTTTCCACATAGGTCAGGACAGACAGGAACAACACGTGTAACCACATGTGCACAACAAAGATATAGATGATAACTAAACTAACATTTATTTAGTTTTTATTGACTAAAACTCAATTAAACCTAACAAAAATCCAAACGACTAAAATTGGACTAAAACTATCCATTTTCAGCAAAAGATGAAAATTAAATCAAATTCAAAATTAAGTGCAATACAGACATAAAAATAATCAGCATGACTGGATCAAGTCACTCCATATACAAAAGGGATTTTAAATCTGTAACAGTGAAATCTTAAGACACACTGGGCCTCATTCACCAATATCTTCCTATATTTTTTTCTTAAATTTGTTCTTAGATTGTTCTTTAAAAAGTACTAGAAAAGTTTATGAATGTGTTCTTAAACCACAGGAGTGTTTGCACTTGTTCTTACACTGAAGAATTCCATGTGTTCCTAAGCTGAAATCGTGTGCCAGTCATTCCCAATTAGCATAGGTTAACGCCCTGCCAATGCCCAAAAAAGGGCATGTGCCTGCAGGGCCATGTGCACACATCTCACACAGAAGCGGAAAATAGAAGGTAAGGAAGTCAGGAATGCTAAAACAAAAGTCTAAAGACGGGGAAGCAACAAACCCCAAACTGAAGAAAAACCTGAGTAGTGAGAAAGTGGAGAACAGCAAACGAACCGTCATGTTTAATAGCATCAGCAGTGGATTTAAAATAAAACAAAAACATGGGATGCTCTTACTCATTCAGTGAAGGATGAGAAGGAGAAGGGTGTACAGCTGATGAAGTAAAATATCTGAAGAGAGATGCTGACCATTGGAGGAAGACAGGCTGGCCCAAAGTTATCTGAGCTGGACCAGCGCATCAGGGCCATACATAGCTCACTGGGGTGTGCCGTCAGCTGAGCGGACCTCCACGTGTGCACCCAGATCCATTTAACTGCCCTGAGTCTGATCTTAGATGTGGTGCTGGACAACCAAACACTTACACAAACAGCCTCAACACTGGCCACAGTATCTGAGACACTTAAAGAAATGAACAGAAATTAGAAGTGGAAATATGCACTTTAAACGTGTGTGGTTTTTATGTGGTGCGTTTATTAATTCTAAGCTACAAATATTCGCATTGCAAAAGTTGAATTAATTTTAAATGTATTTATAAATGAGCAGTAAATTGCTTAGTGTCATTTTTAGTGTAGTGTTTCTTAATATTAAAAGACCATATTGTTTTGTAAAACAATGAAAATAATTATTTGAAAAATATGAATGATAAAATTGCTATTGTTATTAAAATCCTGAAGGATTCTGCAAATGTAGAAAACTAAATAACCAATTATTTCACACGAATGTGTCAACACTCAAATGTGCATTAAGCGTGCCCCTGAGTGTGCGTAGATTCTCTTCCCCTAAGAACAATTCCTAGAAAAGAAAACTTTGGTGAAAGCCAGAGTCTCTGTCAAAAGTATATAAGTAGGTTTTAAGAAAAAAATTGTTATTCAGCACACATGGTGAATGAGGCCCAATGTTTTCTCAGTCTTTTTACCTAACAATAAATTATACTTCAACTAATGCCATGTAAATGCCATGTTGATTTGCTTTTATGGGAAACATTTTGTGTTGCATTATATGCATAGATTGTGCTATATAAGCAACAGTTATTGATGTTGTTTTGGCAATTCTCATAATACTGTGAGGTTACATACGATATTGGTTTTAATAGGATAGTGCACATGCCGTGCCTCACAGTATAAAACTAGAGCCCATTGACTGCTACAGATAATCCATTGATACAGCTGTTCAGTAAAATGTTTCCTCATCTTTATCTATCCCACTCCCATTCTGTCATCCCTCAGGCTACAACCACCCTGCCCTCCTCAAACTGATGACCAATCCCAACAATCTGGTAGGTCCTCTCCACATACATTATCATTTATATCATCAGCTACAGTGAGTGTATGGAAAGGGGTTGAATAATATAGTATACACTAGTCCATTTTCACAGAGTATAGTGAAATGTACCTGGATAAAGTGTATACTATGTTAACATAACCACAGTTCTGCCACACCATCCTCATTGTTTTTTATTTTATTAAAATACTACTGGTTTCAACTCTACACTCTACAGCTTCTGTCATAAGCAAAGCAGTGTTTATTCCAAGGTTGACAAAGACAATACAAAGCAACACAAAGCTCATCTAAAAGGAGGATTGCCACACACTGTGTAAGGGATAATACCAGACAAGTTGTATGCAATGTAACTATAATGGGTCACGCTGAGTTGAACTTTGTCTCTCCCCAGAATTGATTACAGTCATGGAACATACAAACTTGGAAGGTGGCATCTCACTTATACCATGGCTAAAGTGCTGTATATGACCTAACTAAAAACTATTATCCATAGCTTTCCCATTTTAAACATTAGAAAATATTCTTGTTTGTCCTGCTAGGCAGTATTTAGCTAAAAGAGTAACTACACCCTAAATTTTTTTTTTTTTGCGCTATACACCTTAGCAAATAGTTTTGTTGGTATATCATGATGGTACAAGCAATTTTTTTTTCCAACAAAATTCATATTGTGTATAAAACATCTGCTCTGATCATCGACTGTATAAAATATGGACGCCATGACAGCTCCCAGAAGTGAAGCCACTGCGAATCGATCGCTCCCTGTTGGCTGGTTGCAGTATATTCATCAGCAAGAGTATGCTGGTATACAGTATACATTTTTCCCATATTTCACTTCTGTGATTTTTGATCGATGTTATCACACTGATGTGTGTGCAATTTGTTATTTTTCTGGTAAGTTTGTTTTTCAAGATGTTATTTGATGATATAAAAAGAGGTGTGTTTCAGCTGATTTGACAGCTTTGATTAGTGGTTTGATGCTGCCACTCAACTAATTCTCACTACTTTGCAGAATCTGGTTGCAAAAATGCAAGATAGCAGCCACCATATTTTGGCTTCATTTTTGCATAGTGGAGGGAAGTGGTCATTATATACAGTATATGTCAGTGGTTCTGATTTGAAAGTTCAGTCCAGCTGAATCCTCTTGGCCCCTCCCTAATAAAGACTGAGGTATATTAGCGTTAGCATTAGCAAGCCTAACAAGAGCCAAAAGGCAATGCTGCATATGAAGATTTATTCCTTTGAACTTCCAGATTCACACAAATATGACACATTTAAATTTACATTTGTTTTGTCCTCACTAAGAAGCTATTTTTCAGTAGTTGTTGGTGGTTACACAAATAAACGAAGCTCCAGTCTTTTTAGCTGTGGCTTAGCTGTTGATGTCTTTACCTGCAGATTAATACTAGAGCATTAATTTTGCAAACAAACACCTACATCACTTCCAGTTGTACTCTTCAGTTATTCAGAGTTATTCTACATATTTCACACAGTCAGCACTGTATTTGGAAAAGCTAATGTGTGTGTGTGTGTGTGTGAATTTGTTTGTGCTTTTTGTCATTCTTTCAGAGTACATTTGTGAACCGTCCTGCCCTAGGAATCCTGCCGCCTGAGAATTTTCCAGACAAACTCACTGAAAGTCTCCTCTCAGTTAGTAAAACACACACACACACACGCATCCTTGTGGTCATCATTTACAGGGTCCGTACATAGACCTACAGTACATTTATTTCTAACCCTAACTTTAACCAAAGCGCTAACCTTACATGCCATCATTTTTATAAAATTTGACAGGTGATTTCTGGTCCCTGCAAAGCAGCGTGCTCCCAGTGTTTTGTCAACACAAGTACAGTGCCTTGCGAAAGTATTCGGCCCCCTTGAACTTTGCGACCTTTTGCCACATTTCAGGCTTCAAACATAAAGATATAAAACTGTAATTTTTTGTGAAGAATCAACAACAAGTGGGACACAATCATGAAGTGGAACGAAATTTATTGGATATGTCAAACTTTTTTAACAAATAAAAAAACTGAAAAATTGGGCATGCAAAATTATTCAGCCCCCTTAAGTTAATACTTTGTAGCGCCACCTTTTGCTGCGATTACAGCTGTAAGTCGCTTGGGGTATGTCTCTATCAGTTTTGCACATCGAGAGACGGAAATTTTTGCCCATTCCTCCTTGCAAAACAGCTCGAGCTCAGTGAGATTGGATGGAGAGCGTTTGTGAACAGCAGTTTTCAGTTCTTTCCACAGATTCTCGATTGGATTCAGGTCTGGACTTTGACTTGGCCATTCCAACACCTGGATATGTTTATTTGTGAACCATTCCATTGTAGATTTTGCTTTATGTTTTGGATCAGTGTCTTGGTGGAAGACAAATCTCCGTCCCAGTCTCAGGTCTGTTGCAGACTCCATCAGGTTTCCTTCCAGAATGGTCCTATATTTGGCTCCATCCATCTTCCCATCAAGTTTAACCATCTTCCCTGTCCCTGCTGAAGAAAAGCAGGCCCAAACCATGAGGCTGCCACCACCATGTTTGACAGTGGGGATGGTGTGTTCAGGGTGATGAGCTGTGTTGCTTTTACGCCAAACATAACGTTTTGCATTGTTGCCAAAAAGTTCGATTTTGGTTTCATCTGACCAGAGCACCTTCTTCCACATGTTTGGTGTGTCTCCCAGGTGGCTTGTGGCAAACTTTAAACGACACTTTTTATGGATATCTTTAAGAAATGGCTTTCTTCTTGCCACTCTTCCATAAAGGCCAGATTTGTGCAGTATACGACTGATTGTTGTCCTATGGACAGAGTCTCCCACCTCAGCTGTAGATCTCTGCAGTTCATCCAGAGTGATCATGGGCCTCTTGGCTGCATCTCTGATCAGTCTTCTCCTTGTATGAGCTGAAAGTTTAGAGGGACGGCCAGGTCTTGGTAGATTTGCAGTGGTCTGATACTCCTTCCATTTCAATATTATCGCTTGCACAGTGCTCCTTGGGATGTTTAAAGCTTGGGAAATCTTTTTGTATCCAAATCCGGCTTTAAACTTCTCCACAACAGTATCTCGGACCTGCCTGGTGTGTTCCTTGTTCTTCATGATGCTCTCTGCGCTTTAAACGGACCTCTGAGACTATCACAGTGCAGGTGCATTTATATGGAGACTTGATTACACACAGGTGGATTCTATTTATCATCCTTTGTCATTTAGGTCAACATTGGATCATTCAGAGATCCTCACTGAACTTCTTTAGAGAGTTTGCTGCACTGAAAGTAAAGGGGCTGAATAATTTTGCACGCCCAATTTTTCAGTTTTTTATTTGTTAGAAAAGTTTGAAATATCCAATAAATTTCGTTCCACTTCATGATTGTGTCCCACTTGTTGTTGATTCTTCACAAAAAATTACAGTTTTATATCTTTATGATTGAAGCCTGAAATGTGGCAAAAGGTTGCAAAGTCCAAGGGGGCCGAATACTTTCGCAAGGCACTGTATATAGCATATAAAAAACCACATACACATATAAATTAAACACTTGTAACACAGTCTGTCTTTCCTCCCCGTCAGGTGGCTCCCAGTGGAATGACTCGTGTCCAGACGATGGCCTGTGGCTCTTGCTCCAATGAGAATGCTTTCAAATCAATGTTTATCTGGTACAAGGTGAGTGAGAAAACATTCAAACTATGTTTGCTGTTGCCTGGTTTACGAAGTCCAAACTAACAGCATGAAAAACTATCACAGCTCTATCATCTGTCTTCTATAAAGACTGGGAGACTTGAGAGAGAGAGAGAGAAAAATCCATGGATGTTGTGCCTTTTAGATCCTAGTATCAGTTCCATCAATAAAAGCTATGATGAAAAATATTTGTAGATTACTTTTTTACTAGATGAAAACAAAACTAAAACAAAATGTAAAGTAACCTTTGAAAAAACAACTTATTAAACGTATTACATATTGGAAGAATGGATGAATGGACAAATGTACTTAATGCCTTTTCAAAGCAAAGTTTTATTCAGTGACCTGCATATATTTGTGGAATCACTGTGTTTTCAGATGTTTTAGTTTCTATCATCAAGCTAAACCCTGATACTGGCTGCTCTGCACCAGAGAGAGCAGGTGGGCAGGGAGGATGGAAAGAGAGAACGGGTCAAAGCTTAAAAGGACAACTTGTTCTGCTAAGGAGTTGTATTACTGGAGAGTAGAGGGACATGGACACTACATGTGAACAAATAAACAACCTTTTCTAGTAATCTTGCGAGAAGAACGGCTGTATCAATGGCAGAGTTCTGCACAGGTCCATTGTTGAAAACACGCACCCCCAAAGCTCCGTATGAGACCAGATCCATTACCAGGTTACTGTATTTCTAAATGAAATCTGGACCAGACCTGACCTGACCCATATCCGTAAATAAAGTCGACTTTAAGCTACACAGTCACTTACTTTAAAGTGTTTGAGAATTGTGTTCTTGGAAAAGTTTCTACAGCTGTTACCTTACTAAGGATGTAGCATGTGGCTATCAAATGCTAACACTTTTTGTCACTATTTACAAGCAGCAAAGCTGCTGATAATGTTGTTCTCACTGTTGGTGACCACAGAATATCTCCCATACATCTGATTTGGCCTTCAAATGATCTGTTGTCTTCAATTTTGTATTCACCACAGGCTGTATTCACTTTTAGGTTATCCAGTTTGACACACTGGCATCTAGCCTACGTTGATGTCTGAGTGATGTACTATTTACAGGATGTGACTTGAGGGGTCAAAGATTGTGCCACAGGCCTTCACAATAAATGCATCGGTTATTTAGATTTGATAAAATTATGATGGATTATAGGGCATCTTTAAAAGAAGCTGCACCTATATTTATTTATTTTTTAACTTAAATTATTTCACTCACTCCCCTCTCATATTTAGCCTCGTACCTGTGAAATAATAAAAACATATGTTTACCCATTACACATCATGTTTTGTGGGTACCCGACCCTGTGAAGCGTTGTAATCCATGGTAACTGCGCACAAAAAACATGGCCACAGCTGTAGTCCCAGAATTCTTAAAAGACAAGGTCATTAAAAATGTAGGACAAAAATGAGATGATCAGTTATTCCTCTAATCCAACAGCTGAACACCCTTGTGCTATTCTTTCTATAAGTGAAATCAAATATAGTTGGGATAGACGTTCCCACACGTGTTGCACTTCTAAGTTGCTTTGCTTTCGCTCTTCAGCTGGAAGGTCTGGACACTGTGCTGCCAACTCTGAAGCCAGCTGTCTTGTTCTTTTCAGCCTGGAGATGTTTGTTGGCTCATTATCGTGCTATAGGAAAACCCCCGAAAAAGTCTGACTTTCCTTTGTTAATGGCCTTTATATAAACAATGGCTCAGGGGGCGGAGTGACATAGTTCTTCCTAACACTGCCTTTGTACAGATAGAATTTGTTATTGTAAGTCATCAACAAAATTAAATACTATTTAAAATACATTTTAAAAACTAGGGACAACCACAGTGAAATTGCTTTACTGAATAGAATACTCTGTCAGGGACCGTAGCCATGCCTTCACAGCCCACTAGAGGTTCACGGACCACTGGTTGAAAACCCCTGCATTATATCTGGACAGACATGCATGTAAACTGCAACATGACTGCTTGATGTAGGTACACAACCACAAGGCATTAATCCTAATTTTGTTTAGTTTTTACTCTGGCAGCTTCTTAGCTTTGTATCATTTAAGGTTTAAGGCCACTGGACTTCAGCTGCTTCAATTTCAAAACAAACTGCAAAAATGGGGGTGTTCTAAAACTTTTGACGGGTGGTGTGGCTTTGTCTCAACGTGAAGTCCTAAAAGTGTGTTTGCTTTTGCTATAGAACAAGGAGCGAGGCCACAGTACACCCTCTGATGAAGACCTCCGCACCTCCGTGATAAACCAGGTGGGTGAAAGACGTGTCACTGCTTAACATGTTTTGCAGTTTCTATTTAATTCTACTAAATTACCTAAATCTTCCTCTCTATTTTTCCTGTTTCTATGTTTCTCTGTTGCTCTCTGTCTTCATCTCTCTGCCCTTCTGTTTCAGGCACCAGGCTGTCCAGACCTCAGCATTTTATCTTTCATGGGTTCTTTCCATGGAAGAACCATGGGTATGTAAAACATTTAGTTATATGCAAATCGTTGCTGTTGTTCAGTAGTGCTGCCTCTGGTGTGAGGTGAAAAATATCACCTACCAGCCCTTCATTGCCAAATTGCAAATATTGTGGCAGCTCTTTTCATAACAGTCCTGTCCGGTTTGAACAGAACAAAGCTTTTTTCTTGTTTTTCACTTGTGTCTGAAAGCTGCTTCACTGGCTGATGCTCAGTCAGATAGTACCGGTAAAACATTTGCAGCACAAAAATACCAGAGGATTTGTGGGATTTAAACAGCTGTCTGTGGAGATTGCACTTCATTAAACACACCAGAAGGAAGAAATAGACTTGAAGCATTAAAAACGTGCGAGGTCCACTGGTGACACACACGTCTTTGAGTTCGTGTGGGCTGACATAATTGATAGATTGGAGTTTTGTTGCTTAAAAATACACAGATGAAGTAAATTCTCCCATCAGAAACGAGCTGTGAATATGGAATTATTTTGGAATTAAAAGAAAACACAACATTAAGTGAATGTGAAGTTTTAAACAAAACTCCTACTGTAATGTAGGAAGTGTTTTCCCTCAGCTGTATGTGTGACAGTGTAAATGCTTCTTATGTAAAATGTCAAAGTTTATGTTGAATTGGAAGGTCATCCTGGATCCTTATTTGTATTTAAAAAACACTGGAAAGTGAACAGAGGAGCTTTTGTACCATTTGTGAGTTAATAAAAATGAAATAGGCAGATAACACCACTTGATATCAATCGCAGACCCCTGAATTGAATCCAATCAAAATTGCATCATGGCATATTTTTAAGTATCGGCAAACATCGGACCGCTGGTGAAAAGGATCATTATAGAATCGTACTGTGGTGAAACTGGTGATTTACACCCCTATTTATAACTGAAATGCACATGAACAAGCATTAAAATTGAATGGCCAAGTGATTAACGTGACGTTGATTTGTGGCTAACATTATGCTTTTGCCTTATTAAGGTTGCTTGGCAACAACACACTCAAAAGCAATCCATAAACTTGATGTGCCAACATTCGATTGGCCAATCGCCCCGTTTCCCAGGCTGCAGTACCCACTGGAGGAATTTTCCAGGGAGAATGCACAGGAGGAGTCTCGCTGTCTGGAGGAGGTGGGCTGTGTGTGTGTGTGTGTGTGTGTGTGTGTGTGTGTATGTGTGTGTGCAGTCATGAAGTACAGCTGCAAAGTTGTTTTTTGATAAATTAAGGTTCTCAATCAAAACAATCTTAGAAACAATTTACACTGTAAGTAACTAATCAAAAGTGGCTGCAGCCTTTCAAGACCTCTTCGTCCGACCAGGTCACTGGAGTAGCTGCATGTTTGCTCACCCCATATACAAAGAATCATACAAAAAAATAAAATCCAGTGACATTTAGTACTGATGTCAAGACAGCACATTTTATTTTTCAAACTGACATGGACATTTATAGGCTATATCTCATTTTGTTACTGAGCAGACATGCTTATATTAAATTTAAATCCTTATGAATCTTTCTTGCATTTATCAGCCAGTGTAATTATTCTGTGATAACTGAACTTTGTCTGGTAATTTCTGTTAAAAAAAAAATAACAGGAGCTATAATTATGAGTGAAAGCAATATTTTGTTTTTTATATTTTAGCCTTCAAATAATTGTCTTTATTTTATGATTCAAATACCTAACTGTGCTAGGCAAATATTTAAAATTTTTATTTAGGGTAAACTGAAATACATTTTAATGTCTTTCAGTGATTCATTTTGTAATAAATCTTTTAAGATATATGTACATTGACAAATAAACATATAAATTCTTGTCTCATGTTTAGAGTCAAAAATGATGTATTCCAAGTATCTGGCCATCAGTTAAAAATCCAAAGGTATACACTTTACAGTGACATGTAAAGGTTGTTTTAGACCTGAAGTTACTTAACCTTTACAAACTTTTTATAACTTAAGGAAGACAAAGCTGAAATTTTAATCTTTGGATCAGGCTCCATTGAAAACCCATTTTTAAATTTGGATTTGCTGATTCTGTTGGTTAAATGTAATGTTAAAAATTTAGGAGTTATCTTGGACGGAAATTTTAAGTTGGATAAACAGGTCAATAATGTCATTAAGACCAGCTTTTTTCACTGTAGATAAAAGTGAAGCCTTTTCTTACAAGAGGTGATTCTGAAAGGGTTGTCCATGCTTTTATTTTGAGCTGTTTGGACTATTGCAATACACTGTATGCCAGCATTGATCAGTCTTCTCTTGCACAATTGCAATTAGTCCAAAAAGCTGCTGCCAGTTTTTTAATAGGTACAGTATACAGGAACATGAGCATATCACTCCAGTTCTAGCATCCTTGCATTGGTTACCCATCCATTTTAACATTAAGTTTAAGATTTTATCTATGACCATCAAGGCCAAGTGCCATGCTATTTAAGATTTTCTTTTTAACACATAATAACCCTTCGATGTCCCTCCCTTCTGCTGACCAGCTTTTGCTAAATGTTCCCAAAGCTAATTTGGAAAAATAGAAGGGATTGTTCTTTCTCTGTTTTAGCCCCAAAGCTCTAGAATGAGCATCCTCTACAGATTACAATGGCAACATCACCACTGGTTTTTAATTCAAGCTGTAAAACATATAGCTTTTAATGCTATTTGAGTGTCTTCAGTTGTTTGTAACATGGCGGGTATGTTTGTCTGTATGTTTTGTTAAGCACTTTGGTCAGCTTGATTGTTTTTTTTTTTATGTGCTCTATAAATACATTTTGATTGATAGATATATTATCATTTAATAATCAACTAACAATTTTAGCACTACTCCAGTGATTCATGTTAGTGCCTTGTAAGGAAGTATGTACCCCCAGGTACACATCACATTTCCCAAGTACTAAGATATGAGTGTTGAATTTAAATTATATAAAACATGACACCGCTTAGAAAATATGATTAAAATGGTGTGTGTGTGTGTGTGTGTGTGTGTGTGTGTGTGTGTGTGTGTGTGTGTGTGTGTGTGTTGGGGCGGACATGTGCACCTCCAGGTGGAGGATCTGATTGTGAAGTGGAGGCAGAAGGGGAAGCCTGTGGCAGGGATTGTAGTTGAACCAATCCAGGCTGAAGGCGGAGATAACCACGCTTCCCCAGATTTCTTCAGAAGCCTTCGCAACATTTGCCGCAAGGTAACGGTTATCACTATGGCAACAGACCCTTTAAAAGGGTCTTTAAACTTGTGCTCATTTAGAGATACATCAACTTGAAAACTACACTTATTGACTAGCCTCACACACTACTGTGGTAACATTTTCAGTAACATTATAATGGCCAGCCTTTAGTAAAATAACATCTTACAACACAGTAATACAGTAACAATAAGAAGCATTTCTGATCTTGACTTCATTTACTTCATTAGACCCAATATGGATTCCAAGGCCTCATGAGAGTCATTAACATTTTAGAAACAGAAAGAACAAACGTCCATGGGCAGCATGCTAGTTAACAGAAGTCGAAGCTCGGGGAATAGAAATCTACCAAAGCACTTGATGTTCTGGTCATAAGTAGGGAGCCAGGGTGGCACCACAGATTCCCATGCCCAAGGCATCACTTTGAGCCAAGTGAACCGGAGGACTAGGTCACAATGATGAGTTAGGCAGCCCGTCTGCCTTTGCAGAAGCAAGAGCCTGTATATGGATGTTAAGATTATGTCAATCTTCCCAAGACCTTGAAGAGCACATTATCAATCCAGCCGCTATTTGGACACCATGTACCACGTGCTGTCTGAGGTAAGCAAAGAGGTTATTCCAGAGCACAATGGGAAAAGGCCCTGCAGACTTGTTTTTAACTCTGAGGACAGACAGGAGCCCTCCATTCTGAGAGAGGAGAGCACAGGAATGAAATTAAGGTTTAAGGTTGTGGACCAGATAGTTGTTGACATGATATCATGGGTCCTCCCTGCAAAGACATGTCTGCTGTGTCAGTGAGTAAAACCCTTGTCCAGCCTGTCAACCTACATACAGTACATTCATAATCTGTTTACTTTTGTCTCTTTCCCATGTCTCAGTCTGTTAATTTTTTTGTCTCCCCAGCATGGCTGTGCTTTCCATGTGGATGAAGTCCAGACTGGTGGGGGGACCACAGGAAAGTTTTGGGCCCATGAACACTGGGGCGTAGATGACCCTGCTGACATTGTCTCCTTCAGCAAGAAGCTTCTAACTGGCGGATACTTCCAAAAGGATGAATTACAGCCTGATAAGGTTTGTTTTTAAAAAAAAATGTCTGCAATGAAATTCAGACCACATAATGTACTGGTCATATCAATGCAATATTAGATGTTTTTTTTTTTTTTTTTTTTGAACAAGACAAAAAATTGAAAGGCCATTCTGCAAAATATGAATCTGGTGGACAGTACAATGAACCATAGCAGCATTAATTAATTTGAATTTCTAGGTAAAAATCAGTATATGTACTGATGAAAAGAGATTTGTAACACTCTAAACAAAGTGTGTAATTGAGAAACCCTGCATTTTACTTGGCATAATGCTGACATAGTAACTTCTCCAGGCTTACAGCAATTCTCTCTAATGATAAAGAAATAAGGCATTAACAGACATGTAATGTGTGTTTTTTAAACCTTACCATGAAGTCCCACCAAGTAGTGGAAGCATCACTCCCTTTCAAGTTGCTCCAAGGTTGGTAAATCCAACCGATGGTCACTGGGTCTTCCCCCACACAACCACATACAGTCCCAAAGTAGTGAAATTAATTCCACCAGCTTTGGTGTCTTGTGACACACTGCTAAAAAAGTCTTTCTGTTTCTTTACTCAGATGTGTTGCAGTAATGTACAATATAAATAATATAAATTTACATTATACACTGTATGTACAGTATTTAACACCTTAGGTTTTCACTGTCATGTACATGTAGACAGAAACCTACAGAAGTGTCTTCAAACCTTGTGCCCTGGAGACTTTACATGACTGTATAACATCACTGTCATTTGATCAGTGTGTTTGCTTGTGTGTCTGTTGTCTTTTTTTCAGGCATACCGTATCTTTAACACGTGGATGGGAGACCCAGCGAAAAACTTGTTCCTGGCTGAGGTTCTCAATGTAATTCGCAGGGAAAACCTTCTGGAGGAGGTGACCCGTTCTGGGAAAGCCTTGTTAAACGGTCTTTATGAGCTCCAGGTAGCGTGTTTGAGTGTGCATGTGTGCGTTTTCATTTTTGTATACAGTTTATTTAGGTTCAAACTGCCCAAAATTGAAGTGACCCATTTTAGTTAAGCCCGAATAAGAGGCACTCTTTCACCTCATTTTGACTCATATGTTTACTGCGGGCTGATTTGATTATGCAAAGATTTAAGCATAATCTTAATCCCACTTTCTGATGAGAGCATCAGTCTTCTTAAACCCACAAAGCAATGTGTCTGGACATTGTTTGCTTACCTGTCCATCTTTTGTCTTCTGCTGTCAATGCTGAGGTCTGCATTTGCACAACAGCGGGGATTAGCTCCACACACACACATACACAGAACAAGCAGCATAGCCACAGTGGAGAGAAGGCCAACACTGTATACATTTGACACACTATTGACTACTATGCTTGTTACTGTACAGTAAGTGCAAAAAGTCCTTTGAGTAATGAATCAAAACCCCTGTTCAGCAAACATAAACTTTCAACTTATCCACTGCAGGTATACTTCATTTTTCTCAGCCACAACATATAGTAGCTGTTATAGGAATTTGCTAGGACCCAGCTAAACAATAAAAGAACCAATAACACATTTGATAAAGTATGGACCACTAAGAAATATTGGTAAATACAGTAGTGAGAATTAAATCGATACCTACCCTAACCTGCAATGATTTTTTTTTTTTTTCGCCATACCGCTGTCCATTAAATATCTCTGGGTGTATTAGGCCATTGAGGGTTACTGTCATTTACTTGGATGAAGTTTGGTATGAATACGATTTAAATGTATGTGAACGTGACCTGGATGCATCTGGTCCCCAGGCTCAATACTCCGGCATACTAAGCCGAGCTCGAGGACAGGGGACCTTCTGTGCCATTGACATCTGTGATGATGAAACACGCAACCGCATCCTGCTCAAGACCAGAGACAAAGGTATGAAATACATCAGCACTAGTTTTTATTTATAATTTTTTTTTTTTTTGCAGGCTAGGTACCACAGGTCAAGTTAGAAAAATGTCTCAATGCCAGGATATTAGATGTGACTATTTTAATAGTATCGCTGTGTGCTGGTCGCAGAATTTAAGACTGACGTAGCAGATGCTCTGTCATCAACTTTTATAGCTTATGGGTGGCAGCATTTCAGCATTTTCAATTTCAAGAAATGAAACAGCCGGAAAGTAAACTGACAAACACTAAACAATTTGCAAAAGCTGCCGGATGACAGCAGTACTAGCCCCGTTTAGGACTGAGACAGTCCTGTATACTCACAGAAACAGTTGGGACATGACCATGTCCAAGATCTTAACAGAGATGGACAAACCAACCGGGTGGACATATGCAAAACCCACCACTTAGTAACTACCCTTAAAGTCTTTTCTCTTGGAAAGTAAAGCACACTGTTTGAACAACACCTCCAGTTAAGCACAAATCTCACCTTTATGTGGCTTGTCTGAGCGTATTGTGGTGTGGTCTCCTTGTTCTGGTGCACAAAGCAGCAATTTGCTCACTACTGCCCCCAGAGCTCAGGGGGATAGTCACTTCAACTGGTCCAGTACTGAGAATATGACCACCGGCATGGCCACCAAGCAGGAAAAGTTAAACCTGCCTATGGGGCACTAAAGCACTGATGTTCCACTCAGAGTATGACTTGTTTTGTTTCCAAGATTCAGCTGCTGCAATAGTATATGATTTTATTTTATTTCATAATAGGACTTCTAGTGACTGCTGAATTATATGTTTTTGTTTTTCAGTTGTACATTACAAACTGTTCAGTCATTCACTGCCAATTTTTTGGCATGCTTAGGTTAAGTTAAAAGGAAAATTATATTTAAAACATGCTGATTTTATTATTTAGTAAAGGGAATTTTCCATCTTTTTTCTTCATTTTTTTAATATTGTCAGAAATATTGTATGGTGGACTTTTTATAATTAGACCTATAAGAAATTATGTTTTAGGTTTGAAACAGCCACCTGCTGAGAATAGACCATTCTTGGGATGACGGGCTTGCCTGTTATGTCTTTCCCTGTCAGTGTGTCCTCATATCCCTCAGAGAAATTTTTAAGCATTTTTCATTAGGCCATTATTTTTTAAGGGGTTGAACAATGACACACACACAGTAAATAACTTAAGGAAGCACTAGCATGAAACTCCAGATCACTCCACCCTGATCCACTCTGCTCTACTACAGTCTGCTACACTCCATCCCTCTCTGCCCAGCTATTCATTTGTTGTTATGATATTAAAAGAAATGAGAACACAGCAAAAACTCACTGATCACGCAGAAATAATTGAAAATCAGTGATTGGTTCAATTTGATTTCCCGTAGCCTACACTGTAGCCTGATGCACACCTCTCCAGAAATGTAATTACACGTCATGGTGATGCAGCTGATCGGTTGGCATCTCATTTCCTCATTCATGTCTTTCAATGGCCGGACAAGCATAGAAAATCCCCCTTGTTTCAGTGGTCGGACAGACCATGCCCTGCGAAGTCTTCTTTCTTGTCTGCACTGCAGTAATGTTAATTTCAGTAAAACTAACTGCTGTTCAACATCTGTTAGTTTTTCCTGTTTCCCATAATAGTGAGGGTGAAGTTTCTGGAGAGTCAATCATCTCCAGAAAGATTGCTCACTTTTTAAAATAAAACTAATAAAGTCTGCATCCTGGAATGACGATGTATTGAAGCACCATCTTTTCCCTTTATTCAATGTAAGGGAAATGGGAGTATCATAACTGATCATAATGAAGTGGGAGGGAGGGAAAAGTGTATTTTCTAGATGAGAGGTAATTCATTCTCCAACTATCACCTGGTCCACAATGCTTCATATATTGCTTTATTATTTCAGTTGAGTGCCAATTTCTTGTATTGCTAAAGGGGCTTGAGTGGCCAGTTTCAGGGTTAATAACAGTATTGAACTCACCAGCAATGATAATATTTGTTGAGTCACAGAGTAATGAGAAAATGTTGTGGAAAAAGTATGGATAATCATTACTGGGGCTATAGATGTTGGCGAGTACATATGTTGTCTGGTTAATGGGCGACTGCGGTCCGTGGGTAGAGCAGTTGTCTCCTGACCGGAGGGTTGGCGGTTCGAATCTCGGTGCCTGCAGTCCACATGTCGAGGTGTCCATGGGCAAGACACTGAACCCCCAAGTTGCCCCCGATGGTTCGAGCCATTGGTGTGAGTTGGCGCCGCGAATGGCTGCCTCGGTTCTGTACCGGAAACAAATTTCTTGGGTGTAACATACATATAAAGGTGATTATCTTATCGTAATGGATACACTCATACGTTCATTATTTTTCTTTTTGATTTTTAAAAAATGTTTTAGTCTGTTATTTCACTATTACAGTTACTGTTACCTATTGAATCACTTTATTTATTCATTCATTCATCTTTCATCCCCATCAATGAACCAGGAGGAGCTGTGTAGGGGCAGCTGGGACATGTGATTTGGGGTCACTCTAGGGAGCCCTCTGAAGTGGACAGCATGGGGAGGAAGGCCACTTCACTGTTCCCTTTCCTTCAATCACACATAACATCAGTGGACTGCTAACAACCTCATAGACCAGCTTTGTCCTAGGGCTGGGAGCTGTTTAGGATAGGAATAGCAGGCAGTGGGTCAGGTCCTTCCATTCAAGGTCAGGGACTGACTCCGAGCTGCATAATTTCAGCTCCAAATCATGTTGTCAAAACAAATCATGATAAACAATTAAACTGAGGAAAGGTTTAACTTACCCACTAAACAAAGATGCTGCTGCTTTGGCCAACCTCACCCTGCTGAGCTGTTCTGGAGCTCCCAAGCGATGTCCTCGTCTTGTTGCAGTATTTATGATTCGGGACGGAAATATTGCCTGTGCACTCCCTGTCTTTATTACTTATTTGCTGATTTAAATCCCCTCATCACCCCATCAGCTTCCATTTTACATTTAAGACAAGTTTTGAAGCGTATTTCCAAAAAAAAATATTTGAAAAATGTTACAGTACATATCTTAGCCTTATTTATACTGTCAAATGAACACGTTCTAACATTACAATGTTTGAAAATGTGTGATTGTCACTGTGTAAAACTAAGCATTTGATGTTTTAACCACTAATAATCACTGAACTGTGTGGATGATGTTCATAGCAAACGTTTCTGTCACGACAGGTGTCATCCTGGGAGGGTGTGGGGATCGATCGATTCGTTTCCGTCCTGCACTGATTTTCAAGGAGTACCATGCTCACATCTTCCTCAACATCTTCAATGACGTGTTGGCCCAGCTTAAATAAACCCTGACAACGGAACCTGATTGCCACTACACAAGCCTGAGTTCATCCAGAATGAAGGGAGGGAAAACTCCAGAGAGTCCATGTCATGATAACCACAATCCACACAATAATATACAAGATTTAGAAAATACACACATAAACAATATCTGTTTCAAGACCCAGGGTCGGTTAAGATTGGCCAGTCTTCATCTCCTAGTTTTGGCCAGACACCCCAAAGTCTGTAGTGGATGGGTAGAGTAAAGAGTAATATTGATGTTCTTACCTGACATCCCACAACTGCATTTACTAAAATGTAGCAGGTTGATACTCAGACTAAGTTGCCATTTTGTTTCATGTGAAATACTTGTGGATTTCTATTTGTGAGGAGCGGGTCCCGTCCACCAACATCATTTGCATTCGGCACAGGAACTAGGAGCTGTTTTTTTTTTTTCTTGTTTTGTTTTTTCAAGCCTGTTGAAGAAATAGGTTAATTTAACGGGTATTTCTGTAAGTCAACTTATAACTACCTTAACATCTGTGCTCATCTCATTTTTGTGCCTCTCTTAATCTGGTTTACAAAGCTGTAAACAGCTTGGGTGTTTGTCTGACCAGGGAAGGAGCCATTAATGCGCACAACACCAGACCTATTAGAGTCACTTAATAAATCTCAGGTGCCTGAGATTTAGAGATCAGGAACCATGCTAAAAATATGTTTGTTCCTTTAGATGGTAGCACAGCTTTAGATAATTGTAAATGAGTTGTCAAAGATGCAGACTCCTAATGAACCTCCTTTAATGGCTCTTGTGTACACCTTCATTTCATCTTTTTGCTTCTTCTTCTCATGCCGGCTTTATCCCACCACCTGACTCAGTCACTGGAGTGATCATAGTGACACTGTATGTTTGTTTGAAGAAGGCAGACAGTGATCCCTGACACATCTTTGTGTCAGCGATAACTCTATGTAGGAACACTCAATACAGCTAAGATGCCAACCTGCATGTCATTGAATGCCTTCCATTTGAAATGTCTTTGTTATAATTCTATTGTGTTGCTCTTAATAGGAATGACTTTTCAGCTTGAAATGTTGTAGCCCAGAAAAATGTGACTCTTACACTGCCCGCGAAAACGTCATAGAATATTTAGTGCCCGCATGTTACTTAAATGTGCTTGGTTTCTTTGCTACTGGCTCAGATGGGAGCAGCCATTGTTAACATTAATTCATCAAAAATTTTGAACACATTTACTGCACTCTTGACCAAGAGCTTCATATTAGTTGCCACACTCATTTTCTGGTGTCACTTCATTATGATTTCATATTCAACACTACTCAGTAGTGACAGGACCACAAAAATAATGCTAGTAAATTTGGAGGAGGAGATCATTTTCAGTTTCAAAACAAAAATTAAATGTGCTCCAAATCCAAAATTACTACACATGGTAAAACGCATACAAAATTGAAAAACACTAACGCTATGGGCTTGTGCTTGTACTTCAAGCAGTTAACTGCTACTATTGCTCCTTGTTCAGTTATTACAGTGGTTACCTTACAGGCAGTCTGTCCAAATGTAGCCTACTTGCTAAATCTTTGCATTACATTAGCTACAGTAAATTAACTGGATTAAACGTGTTGATAAGAGATTGGACAGTGACCTCAAGGACTGAGCACAATTGGTCAGTAGTTGTTAATAACTAACAGGTAACCACTCAGGGGTGTTACTAGCCCCTTGTGGGACTGTCTCAACCACTGGAAACCTTTTATTTTGTACTATGCTTTGAAGCCACTTCCAGTAAAACATAATTTGCACCTTTGTGTCATTTTTCCAATTAAGTTTTCAAGTGTGACATCTTCATTGTCTCATGGGTTCATTATTGTCCCCTGAAACCAGATGAAAACCCGCACTGGTTCTTGATGTAAGAACCATAGAAAACCAAACTCCAGAAGTGACACAGAGATGATATTTATGCCCCACCCACCCACCTACATACAGAGCTTTATATAGAGAGCTTTTTTGTGCAAAACATCTGCAAATAGCTCTATGCAGTAGATCAGAGAGACCCAAACATAAGGAAATTGAGCTGTTGAACTTTAAGCACAGGTCCATCTATGAACACATAAGATGAAGGATGATACCAAGGTGCACTACATAGTCTTAAGCAACAGCACAAACCTTAGCAGTTTTGCCATTTTATATTATAAATCGAGCTGATTCGGTAGAATGCTTCAGACCTGGTTCAGTGTTTGTGAATGTTTCATGGAGCTCTTAGGCAAGTGTTAGGAAAGTGTAACGTTTCATAAAAAGATTTACCATATTAATTTCTCTAATTATTAACTTCCTACAAGCTAATATAGTTACATAGTATATGAATATATGTATATACGAATGTATATCAGAATGAGAATCAAAATCAGCTTTATTGGTCAGGTGTGTTGGACACACAAGGAATTTGACTCGGGTACAGTGGTAGTTAACGTGTGTGTACATACATGCATACATACACACACACACACACACACACATATATATCCTTTTATGTTCGTGTGAGAGCAATGTTATCCCATAAGCCTAATGTAAACTATTTGTTAAATACAGTTCACAGGGTCAGTTGGTCTTGTTTGATTTGCATTTTGTCCTAACCATGCATTTTATTGAAGATGTAATAAATTACTTAGGCTTGAGTTGTAGGGGAAGGGGGCTAAGCAGTATGACAGCACCTGTTTACTTGTCAGTCAGTATTAAAGAGTATCCACGAAGACCTTTTTTAAACATTTTTGACTTTAACGATTTGCACTTGTGATCTGAAATAGATGATTTTTAATGTAATTATTTTAGATGGCTCTAACTGTCGTTGCCTATATTCATTCTGTCCCTGTACTGTGATAAATAAATGAAGTTTTGAGTAACTTAATGTAGTGGGGTTCTTAGTTCTTTTGCAAGAAAGTATGGGGTTTTTTTTACCTAGGAACATTAGTATCAGAAAAATATCATTAGTCTTAACTAAAGATCTGAGATCCACTTTAATTACAGTCATGGAACAAAAGAAATTACATCCTCCCTCAATTCTGTTTATATTTTTCAGGGCCTAAAAATAACTGTATGGAATTCACCAACTTCTGTAAACCTAAATAGATAAATTTAAAAAATTACCTTAGTTAACAAAAACACAACAGATTTCAATATGTGGTTATTGTTTCCTAAAAGTTAACCAACATTCAGAAACCAGGTGGAAAAACAAAAGTACACCCTTCCCACTTCCACAATCTTTGAGAGTAATCAGCAGCCAGATGTTACTAAATCAAATGCAAAGGATTAATCAGTCATTAAGAAGTGTAACTGCCTATATAGAAGCAGAACCTTTGGCACTTTAGTGTTCTGGAGCACTGAGGTGTGTGTCTACAATATGCCAAGAAAAGAAAGGACATCAGCCATGACCTCAGAGCAGCAATTATCACTGCTCATCAGTCCAGGTAGGGTCATAAGGCCAAACAATCTGAGACTCATTGTTCTGCAGTGGAAAAGACTGTTTACAAATGGAAAAAATGTCTTAGAGGCAGCTGCCCATCTTCCTAAGAGGGCGTCCCAGCAAATTCACTTCAAGGTCAGATCGTTTAATGGTCAGAGTGTTATGAACGCTCGACACAAATGTGAGCGAGTGTAGAAATTAGCAGACCCAGGCGGCTGGCTTCGATGCAAGTATTGATTTATTTACAGTGTTAAAGCAGTGCAAATATATATACAAGGTGAAGGTATGAATATGACCGGGTGTCGACCAGCAGTAGTAGGAGTTATTGTCCGTGGAGTGATGATGGGCCGGGCTGCAGGGGTTGGAATCACTCCTGGGCTGGTCGGGTAGGAGATCCGGTTGACTGTGGAGGTAATGAGAGAGTTCAGTTAAAGTGGAGACTGTGCATCGACCTATGATGGTGGCTGGTGGAGCTGAGGGTGCCAGGATCCAGAGGAGAGGTCCAAAAAATGCAGAGGGAAACTAGGAACACACAACATAGGAAGAACAACGAGAATAAGCAAAGTACTAATCTAAGGAAGAGCTGACGACAGAGAAAGAACTAGCAAGGGAGTGATGGGTAAGCCGAGTATAAATAAGGAGTGAGACAAAGGAGGCGCAGCTGAAGAGTGTCAGAAAATCAGGGCAGGTGTGTCTAATCAAATAATCAGTGTGAGGGAGCTGACTAGGGCGAGAAAAAGAGAAGAGAGGAAGGTGCAGCCGGGCAAACCTGACACAGAGACATGAAAAAAAAACCCAAGAGCTTCATCACGTGACCTACAGGCCTCTGTAAGCACATTAAATGTTTATGTTCATGGGAGGACATTTAGAAAAAAGACTGAACTAGTATGGCTTTCACAAATCATCTAAGAAAAAGCCTCTTCTTTCCAACAAGAATATAGCAGCACTTAGGTTTGCAAAACTGCATCTGAACAAACTACGATGGTTCCGGAATAATATGCTTTGGACTGATGAGACCAAACCCAGTATATCCACATGAAAACCTCAGACCAATTGTCAAGCATGGTTCTGCAGCCACAGGACCTAGAAAACCTCCAGTCATTGAGATGCTAATGACCTCCTCTTTATACCATAATATTCTTGAGACAAACGTGTGGTCATCTGTCCAGCACCTTAAGCTGGGCTGAAATTGGTTCATGCATCAGGACAATGATCCCAAGCACATCAGCAAATTGATATCTGAATGGTTAAAGAAGAGAAAAATTAATGTGTTGGAGTGGCCACGTCAAACTCCAGACCTCAACCCCACTGAGATGCTGTGGCAGGATCTGAAGAGAGCTGTGCATAAACAAATGCCCTCAAACATCAATAAACTGTAGCAATGCTGGTGAGTGGGCGGTATGGAGGTAAACACAGATCCGAATGTTATCACTCTCCTTGTTTTATAGAAAAACGTCATTAAAACAATTGTTTGGACCCTGAGTAAAGGTTTGGTCTTGATGCCCGTTTTATCTGCAGCTTTTCCGCACCCGCCCCCCCCCTCACCCATGCCGCCGCCTTCTCTCGTCCACACCAGACGAGTCGATGCTAGTCTCGAAAAGCGTTTGCGTGACAACGTGGCGGTTAGCAGCCAATGAGAAGGTACTATGAAATATGTCCTACTTTCTATTGGCTATAACATCCTTCAGCGCTTTTGTGATTGGGTAGCTGAAGAACAAGGCCCGCCCCACCGACGCTGATATTTAAAGGTACAGAGTGCCAACGCGGACTGAGCTGCTGTTCACAAATTACAGAAGGAGGTGTAGAGAGAAGCTGCAGAGAAGCTGGTGAGCCCATGTTCTTACTGTCTTTTATAAGTTCTGTTATAGGGAGACTGACTTACAGTGTTTGATGAAGTGCATACAGCGCAGCTGACACACCAGCAACAACTTGTTGGGATTCAAGTAGACTTAAGGACTGGGAGAAAATTAGATGCTCATGCTTATCACTGGAGTGCTATGTTATTTTATGAATGCAAAAATGTTAATATTTATAAGAGAACATTTTGTGAATTCTAGCTCATGTGCTCCTTAGAGATGTGTCCTTGTTCTAGTACTTTTCTGCTCTTATATATTGTACATATGCAATTAAAGAGCAGGACTTTTGTTAATGTATGCCGAAGACATACAGCATACATGGACTGGTGCAAAATTAGCACCATGGAGATGAATGTAGGTCAGACAACAGCAGAATGTTATAACCAGTGCTGGGCCTAATGTCTCTGCTTGAACATGCTGAAGATGTAGAAAGTTTCAGATATCTTGATAAAAGTCTGACCATTCTCTCTGTCAGTGAAAAATAAGGTCATTTAATCTCATGTAAAGAGTGCACCCAGCATTTCCTCAGCTTTAGAGACAGTCGGCTACTAGTCTGAGAAATCCCCTCTAACAGAACTCTCCATAAGAGCATGCGTATATCCCACCTGCCATCTTGGTCTGATCACGGGAACTGCAGGCTCAGGAAGGAGCTGGTGAACAACTGGCATAGATAGGAGAAACACTGGGGAGCAGACGTGTGACTGCTGTCAGAAGGAAGGATGCCAGAAGACCTTTAGCCCCTCGGTGTGACCCAAGCTGTCAGTTTTGTTTTTTATGCTTTCACTATTGTATGTTTTTAGTTTTATTGTGTGCCACCTCATGCTCTTCTTAGCTTCCTCTCCTTTTGTCTTTATTCTTATTTTAATCTTATTTTTGAACTTTTATGAACTGCCCTCACACACAATCAAGCACATCTGACTTTTGGTCTCCACCCCATCCCCACCAGTTGATAATGATGCTGAAGTCCCTGGTATCCCTCTGCGTCCTGGCTGCTGTTGCCTTTGCTGTGCCCCCTCAAGAGAAGCGCGTCCACCACCATGCTGATCTGAGTGACCACGTCCACGACGATGCTCATGGCTTCCAGTATGACCATGAGGCTTTCCTGGGCAAGGAGGAGGCTAAGACCTTTGACCAGCTAACCCCCGAGGAGAGCAAAGACAAATTAGCGTAGGTTTTGATGACCGTCAGCATACACTTACTCTGCCTCTAGCACCTCAAAGTTTTTGCTTATGTATGTGTTTGTATTTATTAATCATCTTTGTTGTATTGCACACATTATTGCTAACAGGGTGTGTGTAAGTCAGAATTTGGGGATCCATTTCCAAAAGCATGGAGGGAGCAGATTATTCAGTTTAGATCGCTGCCTCCTTAAAACTGGCTTGATGGTAAAATCAGAAGTCCTGTTTACAGCAGTATCAGTCAGTCAGCATCATTGCTGGTCAAGTGTATTAACACCCAGCATAGAGAACGTAGGTTCTAAACCTTATCTACAACCCTGACCCCATCTCTCCCCACAGAAAGATTGTGGACCGCATTGACACTGATAAGGATGGCTACGTCAGCCACGCAGAGCTGCACTATTGGATCAAACACCGCCAGAGGAGGTACATTGAGGAGAATGTGAACAAACACTGGAAGGATTATGATAAGAACCATGATGACAAGATATCCTGGGAGGAGTACAAGAACACCACCTACGGCTACTATCTGGGTAAATCTTTGCTTGTGAAAAATGAACCTCCATTTACATCTTCTTCTTTTTTCTCTCTCACCTCCTTTTCTTTTCTACCGCCTTCTCTGTGATCTGGAAACTGGTTTTAACTTTGTTTTCTGTCAGCCATCCCCACAAATGAAGCAACTATGAAGTCTTCACCTAGGAAGTGCCCAAGTTATTACTGAATAGACCACATGAGCCCAGCTCCTTCCAAGCAGGGTCTTTAAATGTAGAATATCCAAAGTAATCTGCAACACCAACCACAAACTGCAGATTATGAGTCTGTGTGT